GGACCAGCGCGGGAGAAGTGCAGGTCAGGGAGAGATGCTGAGGCCACATGAACACCAGGCTGCGGAGCTTGGACTTGGTTCTTTGTATTGTCACTGTCATCGTCGTCATTGTCATCGGGAGTTGCTGAAGCTTTTGGAGGGGAATGAGGCTTGAGCAGAGCTGTTCCTTGCAAACTGGGCAGCAGACTGGGAAGGCCAGGCTGGAGGGGTGGCCCTGGTCAGAGCTAATGAGGGCCAGATTCAGGTCTACTGCCCAAGGGAGACCAGGTGGGATGGGGCGAAGGGTCAGAGGCATCTCTGGACAGTGGATCCAGAGCCTCCTGGGCAGGAAGGAGCTCTGTCCAGTGCTGACTTCCAGGCAGCTCAACTCACATCCGAGTTAGCCTACTTGGAAGAGAAAGAGTGGTTACGTTTTTCTCTCTGTTTTGCAATCACTCTTTCATCCAGCAAGTATTTATCAGGAGCTAGGATGTGCCAGGCATTGTGTTGACAGAAGAAGAGAGCCAACATCCATGTTGTAACCACCTCTTTCCTCACGCGCGATAACCTTCCTCTCCCCAGGTTCGAAGCTACCAGGGCCTCCTGGATTGTGCGAAGCAGGTGCTGCGGGAGGAAGGTGCACAGGGCTTCTTCAAGGGCCTGTCCCCCAGCCTGCTGAAGGCTGCCCTGTCCACTGGCTTCGTGTTCTTCTGGTATGAGTTCTTCTGTGACCTCTTCCACCACATGAAGAAGGCGGACAGCTAGCCTTGATGGCCGGAAGGTGGCCTGAGTTTTCACTGGAGGTGACCTCCTGGAAGAAGTAAGACTTGACCTATACAATCTCATGTTGCACAGAGGTGCTGTCTGGTCCACCGGTCCAAACCAGCTGTCCTGAGCATGGGAGCAGGGCCACAGCCTTGATCCCACCAGCTTGGATGCCACTAGAAGGGCAGGGGGACCCCCGCAGGACTTGGTCTGTGGGATCCCAGCCACTCCCATCACAAGGAGCTCGAAGTTGCTCCTCCATCAGGCCCACACTCGAAGGGCACCAGCTGCTGTCACACACTTCTCAGCCCTCGGCCCCGAGAGCTCGCCTGACTCTGGGCGGGGCTGCAGCTTGAGTGGGAGGGCGGGGACTCAGCCCTTGGCAGCGGCCTGGTCCCCACGCCTGGGCTCTGATTCCCACCCACTTATTTTATAGACATTAAAGCTAAAAGCACATTCCTTATCTTACCCCTTCATCTTCCCTTCTAAGTCACATCCCTCCTCACACAGCATGAGGGAAGCGTTCCCAGCCTTTCTTAAATTCCACTTTTCTCAGTAACCTCAGGCAGCTTTGCTTCCATTGGGTTGTCGGAAAAGTCATGACCTATTTTTTCTGTTTTTCGTTGCAAAAATGCGTCATGACTTTTCCAACAACCCAATAGTTCTGGGGGAGGAATCTAAGCCGAATGGGTCACTTTCTAATCCTCCATGTTCAGACCTTCATGTCTGTAGATGTACCACTCAGGCTCTTCTGTCCCTGAGCAGGACTGGTCACAGCCCAGGCTCTAGGGGAGGCAGATACCAGCAGCCTCGCAGGAAGCAGGGGTATTTGAGGAGGGGAGGAGGTGGGTAAAGGCAGCGGCCATTTTCCCTAGTCTACCTGGGATGGCTGAGTTAGCCCTCCTGGGTGGGTGGGAGCGTACAGCTGGGCCAGTTGGCATCAGCTGCCCACTCAGCGTTCTCCTCAGCTCAGCATGGCGCTGTGTGTCTGCTCTGTAACCCCAGAAGAGCCAGAGCTCTGAAGCAGCCCCGTGAAGGGGGTGGCGGAAGGAAGGGGTTAGGCAGACAGCCTGCTCAGGGCACAGTTGGTGCCCAGGGGAGTTGGCAGAGCACAGGAACCCACAGCAGATATCCACAGAGGCAGAGAAGTTTCAGTTAGGGAGATGAGAGAAGAGAAACTACAAAACACAGCCCCCACCCTCTCCATCCACTTCTCCCNTCACCATCTTAGCTGTAGAGGGCGCAGTGTCACTGGCCCTCATGTGGGATCCGAACCGGGGCCCTGCTGCTCAGAGCTGGCGTCCCAAGCCAGCTGTTAACCAACATGCCACTCAGCCGGCCAAAGGGTTCCTTACTTTTATCACTTGGGCCCTCTCTTTGAATGTTTAAAATGTTGACGAGTGTATGCTGGTTCCTGATAGCCCTTTTTCAGTTTGTTTTAGTCAGGTTTATTAAAGCGTAACTTACATACACAGTGCAGAATAGCAAAAGGTGCCACATCCACCCCAGGAAACGAGGAACAGCGATCATCACCTCCATGGAAGAAAATGGGGCGGGCCCAGGGCTAGGGGGAGCTTTGCTATTACCTGTACCCTGGGGGGCGGTAATTTCTGCGGATGTTTGTTTCCTGCATGAGCTCGCTGTCCTGCATTTTGCTGGGTTCCTTTACCAGCTCTTTGGTCAGGATGTCATACAGATTGCTTCCTCCTGCTGTAGCAGTTCCACCATGTTCATGTATTCTTTTGAACAGGTGCACTGTAATTTGTGTACCCAGTCACCTGAGGGAAGGTGGACGTCTGGTCTCCCTCTGTTCTGCAGGACACGTGCTTTCGTGCACTCCTGTGGATGTATAAGTCGTGTAAATAGCTCGAAAGGGAGTTGCTGGAAAACCCCACCCTTGGAATTTTTGTCTAGCATTTTTTTTGTCCTCTTGGTAGCTGATGTGAGGCGAGGGGAAGTACATGTGGTGGGCTGTGTTCTTGGGCTGAAAGTAGCCCACCGCGCTCACTCGAGTTGCACGTGTGCTGTCCAGGTGTACAGAACCCTGCGGGACGCTGTGACCACTATGTACAGGACAGAAGGCCCCTTGGTCTTCTACAAAGGCCTGAACCCGACCTTGATCGCCATCTTCCCCTACGCCGGCTTCCAGTTCTCCTTCTACAACTCCTTGAAGCACATGTATGAGTGGGTCATGCCCGCTGAAGGAAAGAAAAACGGTGAGACAGCTCTCACACCCAAGGGAACCTGGGTCTCCATTCACCCCCCCATCCCAAGCTATAATGTTGCTTTCTGAAGCACATCAGAAATAACGTTTTCCTGTCAGAAGCTTAGACACCACAGCTCTGGGCTCTGTAATGCAGCCAACAAAACAAAAGAATCCAGCCGCTTGCAGATGCATTATTTCTTCCAGCCCTTGCCACACCCATCAGTGGCGTCATCAACGTTTATTTCCACCTACTGGTCATGGTTTTGATTTTTGTCAGAGGTCCAGCTTGCAGACTGCCTGCTCTGGGCTGTGTGTTTCGTTGGGTTTTTGTTTGGGGAGGATGTGGACGGGGAGGGGCATCCTGTTCCCTCTCAAGCCTGAACTGAGTCATGTTGCAGAGCGTTGCCTCCCCTGGGGAGAGCACTCGTAAGGGCCCCACCCCCTCCTGCCACCAGCCTATCCAGTCTGCAGTCCCTTGTCATTCTTGCCAAAAGTGTCCGTGTCTGGTTCTCTCTCTCTCTCTCTCTCTCTCTCTCTCTCTCTCTCTCTCTCTCTCTC